TTAGTACAAAGTTATATATGAAGGTTTATATTTTTACATAGTTGACATTAGGGACTGCTATTTTTCAGTGTTAGAAGTTAAGAAAATAGTACTACCTACTAATGCTTTGATTCATAAACACTGTCTAAGCGTTTTGAATTAGATTACTGTTATTATTTTTTATAATAACAAATTTTTAGTTGTATTCTGGTTCTGGATGAACTCCTACTGTTATATCCCGACGAAAATTATGAATGGTAACTCTTGAGAACTATTTATGGACCAATGCAATATATATTTTTTTTATTGTAAAACTATTAAGTAGCTAAACTATGTATATTCATGTTCCTCTTATTAAAAGCTTTATTTTGACCCATAGACTATTATTGTACGATTTACCATTATTAAATTACTTCCAGTCTACTAATTACAGTTTCCCACATTCACAGACACATTTGACTAGATCTTGTACAAATGTTATTTTCTGTCTTATTAAACGATGTGGTCTGTTTAGTTTATATATAAGTCCAGTATGTTTGAAATACATGATTCATATCGTGGAGGCTGAGATTGGTGTTCTGGACTTACAGACAGGGTTAGGCAGGAAGAAGGATCGATAAAGACTCTAGACTGTTTGTACTGGTTTACGCGTCATTCGTCTGGTCGATAATACACTGTTTTCTAATTGGCGGTATCATTACGTTACATATTAATAGGGCACAAGACTACGTCATAAACAAATGCTGTCGTAGGCTCCTTGTACTAACAACGTGTAATATGTTACCTGACATTTAATCTAGCAAATGCATTGTCAAGCATGGTCAAATGCAATCATCTACAATCTTCTGATAAAGTTTCTAAAAAAATAATAGTGATAGCGTTATGTGAACAGTGTTAAAAATTAAAAAAATCATTTGTCTATGTATATTTATATTTTAAGTTACGAATAACACATAATGATCCCCAAACCCGTAACATCTAAAAATAAAATGTTTTTTCCACTCTCTCATGCTGTTTTCATAATTACTACTATGTCTTTAATTATATTACCAATATTCACTTACTGCTTACTATAATAAGTTGGATAATTCGGATGACTGTTTTACATACAAGTGCATAAATGTGTCTGTATTTTAGAGTTAAACTCGAAATGAATCTAACTGAGAGCACTGACATCATCGCTTATGAATCTTGTTCTTAGTTCCGACTATGACGAACGCTGTAAGATATAACTGAACACTATGAATGACAATCTCTAGGATATCAATATTATCATCATTACCAGATATAAATCAACAATCCACTGAGTTAGTTACTTCAATTTGTATATAGGATACATACATTTTTGTTATTAGTTTAATACACTAGAAAATAAATTGATGCACAATTTATCAAAGAAAATATTTGATAGAAAAACAAAATATTGAAGTATTATCTATGTGTATACATTTGATTTCTTAAATAAAAGTTAAGTTATTTAGTACTGATAAAACTATTTCGTTCCTTTTGGGAGTCAGTAGTTGGATGTAACTGTATCCCAGAGTTGATGTTCACTCCAGGACTCCAATCTGGAACTGTGCAGATATCAACAACGGTGCAATCTAAATCATTAAAAATTGAGTTAGAGTTCATACGCGTTCATAAGTGGGGTGGTCACCTATACTCGGTTACTAAACAGATAACGTGTTGGCGTTTGAAGTGGACGGTTCTGGGTTGGATTCTTTAGATGAATATCGACTTTAAAAACCAGATGCACTCAGTTGACAAGTTAAAAATAGGACGAAATGTACATCCTAGGTCCTGATGATACGTACATTCCATCTGTTCTACATAAACTTGTGTCATAATTACTAATATCAAGGAAATCCCCACAGGACTCACATATTAGAACCAAGAAAGACCAAATTTAATGAATATATCAACGATTGGATAATCCAAACCATTAAGAATTAAATCAGATATCCACCTGGTTTCCGAGTCACACAAGACACCAATTTGTTTGACAAATATGTTATTTTTTATTAATTGTAAGCATTTGTAGAAATCCAATTTCTAATATTCAGAAATAGGTTAACCAGTTTCCATTTGCTCAAAAATCACTTGAATAAATATCTCAAAGTTCTCTGTATTTATTAGTTGAGTGGTTCTATAATGTTGGCTATAAGTGGAATTCGACAGCTTAGTGAAGAAATTCTATAGTTTAAATCGGTGAGTACTTTTTGAGCAACCCTAAAAGTTAACACTTTTAGCTGGAAAATTTCAAACATTTTCTCGACATAACTTGTGACCATTATCCAAAATAAAATCAGCCTACGAATTCAGGGAACGTTGATGCATCATTTCAAGTAAACCATATTCTCTAAGGGACTGTTTATTTTATCCCTGACCAGCAAATACGAACTTTTTAAAACCTTTGCGTTCGATAATCACAAACTAACTGTTATTCTCGAATTCTGATCTGGTCACCAACATATATTCATTTAATAGTTGAGTTCATGAGTCGATTAAAGCTAGACCACTAATCGACTCATGAACTCAACTATTAAATTACTACAACCTCCACAAAACCCTTTGTGATAATAATCATCATCTGCTCACTAGTGACTGGCTTCAAGAGGTATTTCCTGGAGTTCTAGTAAGAAGTTGTAACCACTGGAGTTCAACCGGGTCTGACAATTAGTACAGCAGCGGTGTTTTGGTCATCCAGTGATATAAATTCATAGAGGATAATTTCTCATCGCAGTCCGATTTCTCCACTAAAATATATTACACCTACACCGAGAACATAAAGATCTAGGTTCTATCCTATGGTAGAGTCGGAAATACATTTGGCAAGGAGATTTTAATCTAACACATCACAGCTGTTTAATGCTCTCTGAATTTCCATGTTTCTCTAACTGAAGTCAGTTGTTGACGTACAGTACCTACAAAACTGAATTTTTGCTCTCAGTCGATTCTTTTATTTTAGCCTTAGATTATATGTCCAACTCTACAACAATTTACAATTTTCTGTAAATTCATTCTTATTATGAAGTTTAAGTGAATAATTCGATCTGTGTTACCATTAAATGGTATTATTACTAGTGTTATTATTATTAACTTTAGATAAATAAAATACAAAACATCATGTGAATTTATAATAACAGAGATCCAATTTTAAAAACTATTTCGTATTTTTCAACTGAAGTGTAATAACTTATATTCATTTTACTTAATGGTGTTTACTAATCTAAACACGTAAAACATTTTTAGGATATGGAATAATAACAAGTAGCATAATGATAAGAAATATAGATGGCTAGTTAATTGTTTTCTGATATTCATGGAATAAGTACAAATCTTTGATTAAAAAGCTTCAAAATGATATATATATATATATATATATATATATATATATATATATATATATATTCCAATGTTTTTATGTTATTAACTCTTTAGAATAATGTGATAAAGTGACTGACAGATTGTTCAAAGTTCGTCATACTATCAGTTAAACGTAAACTCTCTCTACATCTCTATCTTTGGTAATCAGTTTTATGCGTAACATTACACTGTAATTTCGAAATGTTTAACTTGATTAATGTAACTAAACTCTCACTATTACTATAGTTATGATTAGCGTATATTTGTGAACTTGTAATGAGATGATTTATCACTCATTTCCAAATAAATTCAAGGGCATTTTAAGTCAAAGTTTGATGAAAATTCAGATCTATTCATAAATCAGCTGGTAAACTTGAGTGTGTGAAACGTTTAATTGTACCTGAACCTATACAACGAGGATGATTCTAACCGAAATGATGTTCACTTTTTACTTACATAGTTTAATGTAGAGCCTAGCAACCGATCTTTAGGAAGGTATATTCCCGTCAAGAAATACCTGAAATCAGTTGCCAGGTTCCTTAGTGCAGCATGTGTAAATCTCTTAGAAATGCATGCTTTGCTTAAGGATTTCGATGAGAATGACGCCATGATGCAAACAACTCTTTTCAGATGTGTCATGATTCTCAGTAGGGCTCCTTGTGACTACAGGACAATACAAAACCAGGACGGTCATACACCTCGTGTATTGACGATGGCAACAAAAATGTATCGTCTCTTGTGATTCGCGATAAATTGTTAGCTCAAAGAAAGTGGTCCCGGATGAACTGAATTTGCGATAATCGTCTAATCAGGTGACTTTAGTAAGACATAGACGGATAAGATAGCTGAACATTGTAAAATCTAAAGACTTCTAGACATATTCAAAACAATTTCAAATTCAGGTTAAGAAACACGTTGTCAATCATAGATGGTAGTTTGGAGCGGAAAACTAAAATACACCCTTAATTTTGTAAAATGAAGTCTCACAAATGTTACTCCCATGTTGATATTTGTGATAGATCAAAATTACAAATATTTTAATACTTATTCAAAAGAAGATATAAAAGTGAGTTAATAACATGCAAAGCAAATTTATAACAGAATATATAACTAAATATATACGATATAAAACAAAAAATTTAGTAAACTAGATTAGTTAATGTTGAGGGGCATAATCCTTAAATTTATATAACAAATGTAATAGAGATTTATTGGTTTGGGAATTAATTAATCGAGAAAGAGATACTGTATATGTGGAAGGTGTAGTTAAGGAACGCGAACCACTGTAACACCATAAAAGTACAAAGAAATTCGAGGTTGACTTAAACAATAGTTTTATTCAATAACAATGATAATAATTAGGAAATTATGAAAACTGTGACAATTAATAAAAAGTCATTTGCAAAATAAGTTCATAATGACCGTTTCAACTTTGCTAACGCCTAGAATGTCCGGAAGAAGCACAAAAATAAAATGTAAAAACAACGTTTTCCTACTTTACAAAAAATACTGTGCACGTTAATATATACATAACGTATGAGCTGCTGGTATGTGTGTTATGTTAATGCACATAATTACTGCATGTGCATGTGTGTGGTGCTTGTATGAAATAACGATTCCTTTGTACTTATTAAATGTTTGATTTCTAATTCCAGATACAGTACATTCGTTCGTGCTTTTCTAGTACTTCTTGATTAAATTGCGTTATTCTGGGATTCCTAGTTTGCACTATAATTCAAATACTCCTAATTATCATAATCTGCTACCAATTACAACCAAGGAAAAAAGTGATAGTAATATTTAATTTTGGTACAACAAAGAATATTTGCAATTCTGGAGGTATACTTCAATTCTTGACCAAAAACTACCGAATTCCAGTCATGTCAAAGAACACCTTTAGTCTCCTATACTGGCGTTTTGAAAAAAAACAGTTATTTAAACTGGTTCATTAATTATTAGAGCCAATGGTATATTTTCCATAGATTTTAACTGTTTGCTGTTAAATGTATACTAAGCGTCCCGCGTCACTTCGCTACCATTTTTGAGCAGCCGGTAATATCATTTAAACTTGTAGTGACTCACTCTTATCACGAGAACACGATTGGTTTATTGGAAACAATTATTATTATAACCAATTGTACCAGTGACTGTTTAATGCGCTCTTTGTTTAACTGTACTAAAAACACCCATTATTCTTACACATTTCGATTGTGACCTCGCGCGAATTCGGTTACGTTCTGTAACCAAGCTTGTATCCTGGTACGATCTCAGTATTCTCTCGATACCACGAGATCGCCAGCAAATATATCTCGACTTGGTCCGTTAACTGCCTTCTAATATTTGGCTTCCGGGGGATTTTATGGAGTTATTTGGCACGTGTTTCTCTGTAGCGGTGTTCATAGTCAATCTCGACTCGACACCACGCTACAAACTCATCAAACCAGTTACGTCTTAGTTGTGCTGTGTAATAATTAAACAAACCTTTACATGCAGAATGTGAAAATGATGCGTAACTATTGAATAGATGGTCTGGAGAGATAAATGTCGTTTGTTACTAGTACCTTGTTGTACAAAATTAGCTATGGCTAAACCAATTGTATTTGACTTGAAAACGGTAAACGCAATAACTGACTCATCATTTAAATGGACATGAAACTGAATAGAATGGACACAGTACTCTCTCATAACACAAACCACTGGTAACATACAATAAATACATTAGAATCTGATTATTTCGCGCCTTGATCTTCTCAAAACACACCGTGAATCTGCTCATCTTTATCACCACAATCTATGTTACTACAAGTAGATCTGAACTTTATTGATATGGTCAAATATGCCACGGATAGCCAGAGTTTAACAGTGATTTGTACGCAGCACTTTTATGACCGAGAAATACCAACCCAATCAAATAGGATGTCGGGAACTAAGGAGTTCGAAGATATATTTGGGAAGTTGTAGATGTGTTGATAAGCTAAACGTTGCGATAAGTGCGTAGCACGACGAACTCAATTATGATCTGGTGAAGATTGGCGACTGAGCGCCTTCAGTTAGGGTGTGTCTAGTAAAACAAGTAAGATCAGCTTCGATGTCTAAGACTTACAGAACTATTTATCCTAGGGGTTTATTTCCTACCAAAAGTGATTGTTGATAAATAGCTAATGTAGTGACTCACATTTATCACGAGAACACGACTGCTTTAATAAAAACAATTATTATTATAACCAACTGTACCAGTGCTTGTTTTAATGTGCTTTTGTTTGACTGTGCTAATGACAGCTATATTGTGCTTCCATTCTTATACACACACTTTTGATTGTGACTTCGCGCGAATTCAATTACGTTCTGTAACCAAGCTTGTATCCTGGCACGATCTCGGTATCTTTTCGATGCCACGAGATCGCCAGCGAATATATCTCGACTTGGTCCATTAACTGCCTTCTGATATTTGGCTTCTCGGGGATCTTATGGATCTATTTGGTTACGTTCGACCTTCGCCTTCTGATTCATTTGGCACGTGTTTCTTGGTAGCGGCGTTCGTAGTCAACCGCGACTCGACGCCACGCTACAATTGGTGATCCCAAAGTTTGGAACACGCCACAAACTCTGGTCAAACCTTCCAAAGAAGCCAATTCGGTGAGTCTATGATTTATCTATCCACGTCTGTCGTATATTTTCATATTATCTTTTAATATATAATATACTCGATATGACGGATAACGATAAGAATAGTATTAATATAATAGACTTACATGTATGTGTACCGAATCCTTATCACTTTTTATTCGCGTGACGATGAATTCCACGCTTTATTCGAGAAATTTTCCCGTATTAACTATTCTCCTCGCTGACCCGGCTGCTTGGTACGGAATGCATTCGCATACACATTACCGTCTACCTCCCAGCACCAAAAGGTTAAGTTGAACGGTTTCATTGCCAACTTAAAAGTGCTCTACGAGCACACGAGAACGACAACTGATACGAAACTTTATCGTTCGTCCTCTTAGGTATTCGAACGAGCTTGAAGGCAGACATACAATGTTCCGCCGCTGAACTGGTATAGGCACGACACTGCGTCTGCCCGGAGAATTCTTCACACCACGGAGCAGACCTAATTTCGGTAAATCAGACTACGTCCATCGACTGTCTGCACTTATGCGAACGCTGTCTCCGGTGTCGACTCGAATACAACATCGACAGGTCGCTCTCCCTCGAGAGTTATCTACCTGTTCACATGTTTTTGTACGAGTAGATTCGGTACGCAAACCTTGGCAACAAACTTACGAAGGCCCTTTTCACGTGATCGCTCGTCACGAAAAGACCTTCAAGGTTGATCGATATGGACGCGTCGAGATCGTCAGCGTTGATCGTCTCAAACCAGCACATGTCGATGACAGTGCCCTATCTGACACCCTGAGATTTAATGCTAGACCTATCAAACCTAGCGGGATCCTTAAATCTTCTTCAGGCCCACGCTAGATATATCTGAGACCTCATTCTCACGTCCCGGTCAACAGCACGCGTCATCTGCACCGTCTACGGACGAGACGATAGTCTCACGTCCAGATCAGCAGACCACGCCGCCTCTGACCTCGGATGAGATTGCAGGCTCACGCGATACGAACGAGACTGCCGTCTCACGTTCCGGTCGCCGAGTACGGTTGCCCGTACGCTTCCGCGACTAGTCTCACAGTCAACAACCGATATAGTGTAGGAATATTCCTATGCTACATGCATGCTACACTCTTCTCTTTTTTGATTTTCTTTTTGTTTCCTGAGCCCTCACCTTCGACCATCTCCGTTTGGTACCGTCGACTTCAGTCAACTTTGGCGAAAGCTGGACTGGCCACCCACGCTCTTGTCAACGCACTCAGTCGATATATTGGTTTCGAATGCTTGGCATACGCTTGGTCTCGAACTTGGTCGTTATGGTCGCTTCTGGTCTTTTGGCTCAACGTGGTTTCGTCCTACGTCTGCAGCGTTTCTGGTCCGCATTCCCTACGAACGCAATCTTCAGATTCTGGATACAAACCACTCTGGTGTAGCATGCCAACTCAAGCAATACATACAGCACATCGCTCCTGGTACCGTTCTCCGAAAACGACCTTCGTTGGCAACTCGACGATCAACGATCGCCTTCCTGTTCGCCAATTCTTCCGTCCTACAATCGCTCGTCAGCCGAGCAGTCCCACGATTCAGACCGCTGTTTATCGAAAGTGTAAACCCTTTCTAGCGGGAGGCTCCTGTAGTGACTCACATTTATCACGAGAACACGACTGCTTTAATAAAAACAATTATTATTATAACCAACTGTACCAGTGCTTGTTTTAATGTGCTTTTGTTTGACTGTGCTAATGACAGCTATATTGTGCTTCCATTCTTATACACACACTTTTGATTGTGACTTCGCGCGAATTCAATTACGTTCTGTAACCAAGCTTGTATCCTGGCACGATCTCGGTATCTTTTCGATGCCACGAGATCGCCAGCGAATATATCTCGACTTGGTCCATTAACTGCCTTCTGATATTTGGCTTCTCGGGGATCTTATGGATCTATTTGGTTACGTTCGACCTTCGCCTTCTGATTCATTTGGCACGTGTTTCTTGGTAGCGGTGTTCATAGTTAACCTCAACTTGACATCACGCTACACTAACTTCAAGTATAACGCGATTTGATCATTTTAAGTAACCAAAATTTATAATGCGAAAATCAGTCATTTTTAGAATCGAACTGTATTTGCTATGTAGTGAGATTCTGTTTGTTCTCTGAGTGTGTCATGAAACAGTAATTATGGTTGTTTGTTTCTTCACCTGAGGTCTCAAGTTAGTACTGGGGACAACGTGAATAATTCGAAAACCGGGCTATATAAGAGAAAGCATTTCAAGAGACCATATGCTTTGTGTGTTACGGAATACCAGTGAGAAATACCTTCAAAAATACAACACGGACTAATGCTCATGTAATTTTTTTGTAGATTGTGCTGACGTAATCGCCTGAAATGTAGTGGGGTGTCCCTACTATGTGAGTTGAGTTGTGGTGAACAGTGTGCACATTAGGCTGCTATTTTGGGCGAACCGCACTCTTACATACGGTCCCTGATATCAGTAATCACTCGGGATAATAGTCTAAAGAAAAACATTTAGAAAGGCCGAAATTATCTGATGGCATTATGTTGAGTGACTTCATATGGTGAGCTTCCCACCTTAACTGGAAAAATGTTTCGGTTCCACTTGCAGGATATAGGTCACGGTTACTCCTTACATTGTACAATCAGCTCCTTGTGGAAGTTATGCATCATTCATAGTGTACTGTACGTCATTACTGAAACTTTGGAATCCGTCAAACGGTGGTGTAAAGTCAGTGAAAGATCACGGAACCTTAGCCTAGTTGACTATCAACTAAACTCTCCATGCCTCAGAAGATTGATCAAAATACGCTGTGTTCTTTTGAAGCTCATCGAGGTCGGTTATAAATTACATGGATTGGTCTGTCAATGACATGGTTCCGGAAAGCATGACAGTATAGTCACAGACTTTATACACTAATTTACTCCAATCCAGTCTATTTTATTAATGATCTAACTGGCAGGACTTACCGGTTGTTACTTAATTTTACTGTTGTGTGTCACCGGACTACTGTCAATAAAGTCGTTTTTGACTAAAATCAGTGTCACAATGTGGTTCGTGTATGACTGTTAACCTCTGACTGTCTGCTTGAGATGGTTTACGTAATCTTTACAGGAGGGTATCTGACCCCATCTTGTTGGGAATATTTTTATCCATTCTTAGGAATCTAACTCTTGTTCATTAACTATTCTTTTCGTTGTTTAGTATATTGGTTTGATTTAGATAATTCCTTCCTAGTCTGCTATCATCATAGATCTTGTTATATCCAGATGACGTCAAGATATAGAGTACGATGAAAAGTAAAAGGTAGTCAATAGCTCTAAAAACATCTGAATTATCCAGAAGTTGGCAGTTTCCTAAAACTGCTTCAACAGCATTATGGCCCACACTGTTCACCAAGGCTAGAACACATATGAGGTAAATAAAACTGAGCTTTCTGCTGTCCAGATATGTAATGACCCAGTAGTCGGCTTAAGTGAAAGTCTGAAAATTACTTCACTCAGCCGCGCGACAGCTATTGAAGTTTTATCATGCAGTTGCTAAAGCATTTTGACTTTTTTAAAGTGTTCGTTCATCCTAAACCTTTTTGACTAAAGAATACCAAGCCAGAC